AGGGTGCCGTCAGCCAGACAGTGCCGGCTGGCGACCCCAAGGGGGAGGGCCTTCTCTGTGGGAGCTCCCACCCTGTGGAACGAACTACCCCCAGAGATCAGGGTGATCCCTGATCTTCCTTCCTTCCGCCGTGCCCTTAAGACATGGCTATTTCAGCAAGCGGGACTGGCCTAGGGGAAATTTTTAGCTGGGTTTTAATTTAATTTTAAATTAACATAGGCCTAATATTATATCTTCTTTTAATTGTATTTTAATTATAGTATTTTGTATTTTTGTAATTGTTTTATCTGGCTGTTAGCCGCCCCGAGTCCGTAAGGAGAAGGGCGGGATATAAATACAATAAACTATAACTAACTAACTATAACTATTGACAGAGCTTGTGGCAGAGCTTGGGAAGAAAGGTGACCTAAACCAATTAGCTGTGTGGCCAAAGATTACTAATAGGCCAAAGATAGGTCAAATATTTATTGAATTCGTATCACACTTTTGCCCAAGTTGGTATACTCATTTCCCATGTTATTTCAGCAAGAATCTTGTAAATTAGATTATGGAGATTCAAAATTTATGGTGGTGGATGTTAGAACATGGGTCATCTCAGTTCAAGTACAATATGGGGCTCTTGGTACTCTCTGAGCTTAGTAGTTTTCTTGTAGGCATTTCATTTCCAAACTAGGTAACGTCATCAGTACATGCATTGATGACATTTCAACATGGGTTACAAATATTCTCTTCTATCAGCAATCACTTTACCACCTTGATTTTTTTTTAGATTTTGTTAAGATTATGGTTTCCTAGTATATGATGTCCAGGTGAGATTTTGGTAAATTCATGGCTTTTTTGTTTTAATGAAAAGGTAGATCCTCAATTGCATGAGTAAAGAAATGTAATGCAAAATGCAAGGTACGTACTGTCTGATGTTAAATGTTCATACATTGCAACTATTTTTTTAAAAAGGAAACTGCTAGACACAGTAGCCTTGTACTCTAAGGAAGTATAATGTTCAACATGACCTTGACCTCACATTCTTAACATTTGCTCCATTTTTTTTCTCTCATTTTGACTGGCCTNGACTGGCCTAGGGGAAATTTTTAGCTGGGTTTTAATATAATTTTAAATTAACATAGGCCTAATATTATATCTTCTTTTAATTGTGTTTTAATTATAGTATTTTGTATTTTTGTAATTGTTTTATCTGGCTGTTAGCCGCCCTGAGTCCGTAAGGAGAAGGGCGGGATATAAATACAATAAACTAAACTAAACTAAACTAGTCCTCGACTTACAACAGTTCACTTAGTGACTGTTTGAAGTTACAATGGCACTGAAAAAAGTGCCCCCCAAGCCACAGCCAAGCAAGACACCTGCCTGCCTGCCCGGTGGTGCTCTTCCTCCTGTCCGAGGTTTTCATTGTTGTGAGCATTTCTGTTGAGGATTGGCAGTGGGGGTGGGGTGGGGGGGTGTTTGGTTTTTATTCCCGTCTGCTGAGTGGTTGCATCAGGTTTTGGTCACTTCACATGACCCTGGGACACTGTGACCGTCATAAATATGAATCAGTTGCCAAGCATCTGAATGTAAATCACAAGACCCTGGAGAGGCTGCAACATTCCAGCTGATCCGCGCTTCTTCTGGGCTCAAGCGCCAGGATCAGTGCTGCTTTCCAGCATGATTGGTGCTTCTTCAGGGCTCAGCAGAAGCACCAGGATCAACGCCGAGCTCCAGCTGGAGCCTGGCACTGATCCTGGCGCTTCCGCTGAGCCTGACAGCCCTGCAGCTCCAGCCATCTCTCGCTCAGGCTTGTGCGGTGCTGCCACCGGTTCAGCTCATTCCCCTCCCCCATTACCATTTTTCTAGGATGGTCGCGTACCATCTGCCAGGTGCCAATGTACCACAGGTGGTACCCGTACCACTGGTTGAAAAGCCCTGCTCTAGAGTACTGCACTTCATATCATCTAGCAAATCGATTCCACATCTGTCCTTTGAAAGAATATGAACATGGAAGTGTTGGGAAGGCATCCAGCTTCAAACCAAGAGAGAAAATCCTCCTTCCTATAAAAGTCTATGTTAGCCCTGTTAGAAACTGTTAGATGCTTGGAAGCTGCTAGATCTCAGCTTGGGTAGGATCCAAGACCCATCAACATATACCTTTCAAACTGCATACACTCCTACACACCCAATCCTGCACTGATGATGTTACTTAGTTGGGTAATGAAATGTCTGCAGGAAAGCAACCACGCTTAGAGAGCACCAGTGACCCCACAATCCAATCCTGAGCTACAAATATTCTCTTGTACATTTGTAGCAAAGGCTCCTCCCCTCCCCTCCCCTCTTCTCTCCTCCCCTTCCTTCCCCTCATTTCCTTGGAGGATTTCAAAATAGATCTACCGTTCTTCTCCCAGGCGCATTTTGCCCCAAAGTGAAAAAGAATGACAATAAACAGGATGGCTGACATGGGTTCAAGAGGACGGATTAACAGAAGTTGGTCCAGAGGATCCCTAAACCAGTGGTTCTCAACCTTTTCAATGCCGCGACCCCCAACCGGACGTAAGTCGAGGACTAAACCGGTCGTAAGTCGAGGACTACCCAACCGGTCGTAAGTCGAGGACTTTCCCTGCCCTGGAGCGCCGCCCATGCGTGGTTCCGCCCCCTGCGCCGGCCGAGGCGTAGCTGGCAAGCGGCAGAGACGGAGCAGGCCGACCACCAGCTGGCCCAGCCCAAGGGAGGTAAGGCACCAGCCGGAAAAGGGGAAAAAAATGGCGGACAGCCTTGCTTGGCGACCCCCGTGAAATGGTCGATCGACCCCAAATGGGGTCGCGACCCATAGGTTGAGAACCGCTGCCCTAAACAGATTCGGGGCTGGATACTCAATAGCGGTGTGCCTGCATATCAACCTTTCATTATATGTGCCTCCGGTATCTCTTAGGGCCTTTGCACACGGGATTTCTTTGTTGTTTCCAATGAAAAGCTGCACCTGTTGTTCTCATTATGTGCCCAGCAGGGAATCGAAAATTACAGCAAATCTGGGCTTTTCCCTTGAAACAACAGCAGCTTTGAGAGCTTCTGGGCAGCTTCTGTGTTTTGCTCCCTCCCCTCTTATCATGATGTCGGGGTCCTATTAAATGTCACCCCAAGGTTCCTATTTTGTGTCCTTGGTGGGAGGAGGTCTTGTGAATCAGCAGCAAGCCCTTTGGAATGGAGCACAGGTAGTCCTCGAGTTACGGCCACAATTGAGCCCAAAATTTATGTTGCTAAGGGTAA